TGGATCTGTTGGTTCCTTGCATTACTGCTGAATAGAATAAAGGCAGGATATAATGAAGGCAAGACAGTGAGTATAATAAAGGTACCAATAAGAGCACTGAATAGAACTGGAGCTTATGTTGAGCAATTCCTGAGATGCTGAGCACTCTCAGCTCTCATAGAACTCATCTGAAGAGATTCTTAGCATGTTGCAAACCAGAGCCATTATGCCTCAGGGAGTCAGACTTCTCCCAGAATTCCCAACGTGCTTAAGGGGCACACCCACTGCACCATTCCTTTGGTGTGGTGTGGCAGGTTTAGAAAGAAAGTGGAGCTGTCTGCTCCACCTTCTTCCTGTCCATTTTGGGATGTTTTGTGCACCTACGGGTGATGTCTCTTCAATCTGTGTTCCTACGTGCTATTTTGGCCCACCCCAGAGTCAGGTGCAAAGAAAAGAAAGTTTGAGGCTTCCTTCTCTCATACACTTATGCAATGGTCATTGAGTCTGGCCCCAGCTGAGTTCCAAACCACCCTTCCTTGTCCTGCCAGAAGAGTTCTAGCCATGGCCCACAGGATTTCTGTTTCAGGGGATGTGCTGTGCAGCCTCTTTGCTTCCAGTTGGTAGCACCAGGATGGAAATGATCCATGGCAAGAAAAAGGATAGTGTCAAAGCACAGCAGTTAATAGGATCATAAGGGCTTTGTTTCTTATCCTAGATACTTCTGGTATTTTTATAACCCTAAAAATAAAGATTTTTATCAAAATATAGTATGATCTTGTTTATGACTATTCAGTTTATTTTTTCCTAATTGCACATATGGTGTAAATAGGTCTAGTCAATGTCTGGTCCAGAAGACAGCTATTTGGTTTTATTCTGCTGCATGAAATGGATATATATTTTCAGATGAACTCGTCGTTTGTTAAAGTTCAAATTCTTTACAATAATATTCATTATGTGCCTTTAGTCTACTGACAGTAAAGAGAAATCTCTCAATTGCATTTGAAGTGATCAGTTACCATTTTAATTTGTTCTCCTGGTGTAAGTTGTAATGTATTTGGTATCATCCCTGTAAAGCTTGTCTTCTCTCTTTAAAATGATCTCTTTGGTATCCAGCAAAGGGGGTTGTTGCAATAAGAATTAAGGTGTGTCTCTAAGCTTGTACCTGGAAGCAATAATGATGTTGTTCAGTATTTCAGGTGAGACCAGCCCAGGATTTTTGGGTGGGGAAACAGACTCTGTTATACGCTATCTTCAGTGCTTCCTTCAGA